AGCCTATAATTAATGTATCTGCTGTATCTGCTGTTTCTCAGGTAGTTGTTTACATTATATAATTTATTGTGTTCTGTATACGTCACTACAATGTGATTTCGGAAATATATAAATATACGGACAACAGGCTCTTCCGCAGCAATCTCCTGTCGTCAATAAGCAACGTTTAGGGAGCTCTATAGTATTCAATGAGAGGACCCTGCACGACAATTACCGATGCGAGGGGGGTACCCTGCGCGTCGATAAGTGAAGCAGAGGGAGCCTGACCATGCGTCACACGTTTGACGAGTTGGGAGTGAGAACGTGTTGCTTTATTGTGTTTAATCTGGAAATATCCTGCAACTTCTGACTTTTTGTTGTTTCCCAGTTTCTCACCACACATAAAGCTGCAAAACCAGTTTCAGTGAAAGCAAATGAATCTGCTGACATAGCATTAATGATCTGTTTTCTTCACTTTTTTTCTTGGATTTTCTGGGGTCAAAAAGTTAATGTTGTCGAGTTGTCACGCACTGGAGGTTCTTCAAATTTAGATTTACATTTTAAAAACTTACGAACTACAAAAAACAAAACAAAACAAACAAACAAACGAGTGAAATAGCCTATTTTCCAAACTCACAGGGAGCTGCAGCAGAAGGATGAAAGAGCTGCATGCATCTCTGGAGCCGTGGGATGCTGAAACCTGCTCTAGAGCATTATGGTCAAAGTCAAAGAGGAAATATATAGTCTTCTGTTCACCTGTAATCGTGCAGTGCCACCACGCGGACAAATATGAAACATGCCAAGTGATCAATTATGACAAATAGAAATCATTTATTTATTATTTTGTTGTAGCTGACTGAAGTCTATATTTAGCAAAAAAACAAACAAAAAAAAACATAACAAGCAAACATTAATCATACGGCATATATTATAGCTTAAGGCCACAGTGACATTAATTCTGGAAAAAAAAAACTCCAAGCAGGAAATACATTCCTTATTCTCCAGGTGACCGGAAAGAGCTTCCCTCCCGTCTTTCTTGACATCAAGTTGAGGACGTTCAGAAACAGGTATGCAGAGCTTCAACAGATTTTGTACTTATACTAGGTCCTGGGCTCGGACGTGTTCATATAAATGAAAATAGTGGAGTGTGTTCCGTGGGAATGGCATAATCTTCTCCGCTTTCGAAATGATCGTGGAAGTGCGCAGTTGAACGTTAGGTTTGAATATTTATATAAATGTTGACGTAACAAAACTTAAAACCTGCTTTTCAAATGGTCTAATATTTGAAATAAACACGTCTCGGTATAAATAAATAAATCTGTTCTCCACTGTATCTCTCTTTAATTGTAAATGAAAGTGAAACTAAAGTCAGTGCAGATTGCAGCAGAAATGCTTTGATATCACAAAGGGCAGAAAAGTGTCTTATTTCTACGGTTTAGTGTAATGATTAAAATCTGAACTCAAACCAATCGCACAATTGATTTTCTCGTCGTGATCATACTGTAGTTTATTTCTGTCGCTGAGGGTGAACTTGGAACTGTGTCGACGTATCCAGCAGGGGGTGCCCATTCCCATTCTCTCCAAATCCTAAAATAATTTACTGAATCAGTCCCTTCAACAAAACCTTAAACAGTTTTCTTGGTGGTGAAAGCTTCATGTTTCTTTTTTCATGTTTCTTTTTTTCTTAGAGGGTTTTTTTTTGTTTTTTGTTTTACAACTGCTTGGTTTCTTGAAACCTAACATTTTCTCAAAAATAAAAATGCAAAATATAAAACTCTTCTTAAAATGAAATTTAATGTGACATCACCACAGGGCTTGTCCTGTTTGTGATGAATATAAAAAGTACAAAACCTGACATAAAGTATGAAATAATTTTGTCAAAAATCCACATTCAGATTTTTTTATGTCATATTTGTGGGTTACCCAACACACATTATACAGTATTATAATGTGTGTTGATCCATGTTATTTCTTATAATCTCACTTTAAACTCAATCAGGTTAAACCTCTGATAAAAATTGGTTTTTGCAAACATTTTCCTCACAATGCTTTTTCATCTCTACTTTCAGAATCGCACCATGCTACATGTGAGAGCTCAACAAGACTTTATGGTTCTGTTTGATCGATGCAGCGTGCTGGTTTTCTACACAGCTGCTGTCTTTGTCCTGATACACCCATGCAGAGGTAAGTGAAACACATCAGTGCAACAGAATCATTAATCATTTTTGTTATGGATTTCTACAACAATGATTTACTCACAAAAAGTGTTACATCCACCATTTGGGCTAATAATGTAACTGTGTCCAGTCTGAATGTGGAAGCACATGAGCAGTACTGAAATTCATATTTTAAAACTGCAGTCAAAAAACCCAACACAGCTCCTAGTTTTTGAACAGAAAGATTGCTGATTCATCTTCAGCAGTGACGATGATGCTGTCATTGTTAAAGGTGGGGTCTGTCTACACACACCACAAAGAACACAGAGGTGGAGCCGTTATCGAGACGGTGAGCTCAGTCAGGTTGAGTGAAGAAAGAAACATCCAAAAAAGCAGCCCTGTTCCTGTATTTACCATTAAATCCTTTACAGGGAAAAAAAAATAGTGGAAGACCATCAAAGCACCTAGCAACACTAGCCAGAGGGTTGTTAGGTTAGACACTGAATTATTATTAAATGTTTAAATCTGCACCACGATTTTCATGGTCTTGTTTTTAGCAGCACAGAAACTGCTCATAGACTTGCTTTTTTTCCATTGCACCCACCATATGCTTCTAAAGACAAAAAACCCCTCAAAAACCAAATGCATTATTTTATTTCACTTTGACCTTTAACTGTTCTTGAGTTTATTCATTTTTGCATTTGAGATTTTTTTTTTTTTACTTTTTGAACAAGTTTTCAATATGGCAAGAAAATACAATCAAAAGGTTTTTACCTTTTTTGACATATGTTTTATACATTGAGTTCATCTTTGAAAGACCTATGTTTTTTTTCTCCTTTGAATAGTTGTTGTGTCTTATAATAGGCAGCCATAGTTGTTACTATTGTGATTTAAATTTCTTCTGACTTCCAGTTTGAAAACTACACTTCAAACTGAACTATGTTAGTTGAACGTTTTGTCACACAGCTCAGACTTTTTGTAGTATTGACTTTGTAACGGAGTTGTGGTCCTAATTATTGCTCAGCTGCAGGGGAGGGGTGGAACAGTGAGCTCAAGGGGTGGTGCCAGTGAGGTTGGAGGGACAGGTAGGGATGATTGATCTAATGAGGTTTTCCCTTACTATAGTGAGGTCGGAGACCAGACCAGTACTGTACAGACCAGTCTGTACACTCCTGTGGGAGTGTACAGACAGCTGAAAAGCTGGCTGACGTGTGTGCCGAACACGGAAGAGTCATATCAGTGAAAAATCAATAAAAACCCATAATGCAACCACAAGAACAGTGTATCAGGTTGTGAGCAGCTGTCCTATGTAAAATTTGGGCTTAAAACTAAAGTTAGGATCCTTAAAAAACTATGATTTTTAGAAGCTGAACAAAGATGAAAGAAAAACAGTGTGAATGATCAACCTTGGTCTTTAAAAGAGAATCACTGGTTTTTCACACAGTTGACAACAGCACTTGGTAAGCAGGCTGTAAAATAAGTCTGTAAAGTCTCTAAATCTAAGACATTATCGCTGTCTGTTACAGCAGCGTGTGTCACTGGAGATATCATTGAATTTATTTCTTGAAAATTGTATAAACCCTGGTCAATATTTATTGAGGTTGTGGTCCAGATACAATGTAACTGTTTCAGGCACATTTGTTTGCTGCTGTCTTTTACTTCAGTTACCACACGAAATCTTCTTTTTTTTTAGGTCAGTCAGAGGTTATCGGTCCTCCTCAGACATTAGTGGCTTTGATTGGTGATGACATCATTTTGCCGTGTAACCTGGACCCTGTTATGGATGCTTTAGACATGGCTGTGGAGTGGGCGAGACCTGACCTAAACCCCAGATTTGTCCTTGTGTGGCGTGACGGTGTGGAACTGGAGTCTAAAAAACATCCGTCCTACACCAACAGAACCTCTCTGTTCACAGATGAACTGAAGAATGGAAACATTTCACTGAAAATCTCCAAAGTCAAACTGTCTGATGAGGGAACGTACAGATGTTTTGTTCCAGAACTGAAAAGACAAACTACAGTTAAGCTTGTTGTTGGTAAGTAAACATGTTATCATTTCAAATGCATTTTATTTTTTTTAAATAGTTGATCTTTCTTTTAAACGGTGATTCATAAATTGACACTAATGCTCTTTTAGTTTCAGCACAGCCTTCATCTGTGGAAAAATGTCTTATGTGCTATTTGGGTTTGGTAGACTGTTAAACTATGAATGCTACACTACCCATGCCTTGGATCCATAAACTATATATACAATATATATACAAAAAAGATTTCGGCTGACTCACAAACCTCTACAGTACTTGTTGTGGCTGAACTTCCTTTTAGGGTATTTTTTTGTGCACCTCCACACATTTGACAGAACCAGGCTCAGGGAGGGGCGGCCATCTGCTGCAACTGGTTTGGGTGAGAGAAGGAAAACAGGATAAAAATATGTTCCGTTTGTCTTTTTCAGGTGCTGCCTCTTCACCTGCTGCAGAGATTAATAAATCCATCAGTGGAGTGGTGTTACAGTGTGAGTCTGCAGGCTGGTATCCAGAGCCTGAGCTGCTGTGGTTGGACGGTGAGGGAAACCTCCTCTCTGCTGGACCTACAGAGACCCTCAGAGGTCCTGATGACCTCTATACTGTCAGCAGCAGAGTGACTGTGGAGAAGAGACACAGCAACAACATCACCTGCAGAGTCCAACAGAGGAACACCAACCAGAGCAGAGAGACACACATACATGTTCCAGGTAAAGCTCATATATTAGGTAACTATGTGAATTCCCCCAAACAGCTCGACATGGTATTGATATGTGAACTACTCTACATGCTGTTGTCATTTCAGATGACAATTTTGTGGTCATCGGTCCTTCCAGTCCTCCCAGTCCTCCCAGTAATCCAACTAACGACCCAAATATCATTGGTTTGGTCATGGGTGTTCTTGTGGTCTTTCTGATTCTTGCTGTTATCTTTGTTGTGTGGAAGAAGAGACAAGCCAAACTCAGTAAGTCCTCCCCCATCCTTTTTAAGAAAATGAATTAATAATGTATTTTTCTCAAACAATGAAATCAAATTATTTTTGATCATTTTTAAGGTTGACATGTATCCCTAGTAGAGGAAGTCAAAACTCCACTAACATTTATTAGTATTTTAACATACTAATATATTATAGTATTTATTTTCATGCCCATCAGCAGTAAATAAATTAGCTTTCTTGCATAATGTGAAACATTTTCGGAATTCATCTGTCCCCCATTTTTTCAGTCTAGGTATAAAGTTGTGTTTTCCAAAGAAATATGCCTACTTGTTGTGGTAAAAGACATTTGATGGGTAAGCAAAAGATCCCTGATTTGATCCGGGGAAGAGGCAAAAATCCCTGGGCTCTCATCAGGAAACAGATTTGGTTGAAAAACTGTATTAAATCAAACATGCGGTGTTACTGGCTGTTTTGGCCCCTTGTTAATAAGGGAGCAGGCACTTACCTCTTTTGGTATGAAGGCCTGAAATATAAATAACATGCATGGGTTAAAAATAAATAAAAGAGCACAATGAGCAGTGCAAAACACTGAATGAACACACAAACAGTGGCTCTTTACAGGGTGTTTGTATTTTCTCAGTCATGACTTTCAGTGTGTCCTATGAACCTGAAACAGAAGTCAGTATTTTATATTTTTCATATCATTTAGTCTGACATTGTTCACTTGGTCCAATAAGTATAAGTTTGGTCATCACAGACTGAGCTGGAGATGTCTCCATGCGCTCATTTTTGTTGCATCATTGTGCATCATCCTGTCCATGAGATGTTACACTAACTAAGAATAATTTTTAGTTAGGTGGATGTAAAAAACAAAACAAAAAAAAACAAAAGCATATTATAGAGATGTTTACTCATATTTGTTACTGTATCTGTGCATTTAAAACAGGTGGTTGTAATCTGTAAACTCAGCACTAGATGTCAATAAATCTTACACACTGCTCATTTATTTAGGTAATGTCTTAAAATTCTGCGAGTGTAATATATGGTTCTTCAGTTTTATCCATTTACAATGAGTAGAAAGAACTCTGCTTCATACTGTTCATCAGTTTCTCCTGCTTCTTTATATGTACAGAAAACAAGAAGAGCGAGGAGGAAGGAGCTGAAATCGGGATTGATCGAGAAAGTGAACCACTAATGACAGGAAGAGAAGAAGAGAATGATGTGGCCAGCAAAAAAGAGCAAAAACATGAAGATGAAAGAGAAACTAAAAAAGATAAGTTTGTTTCAGAAACAGAGCAAATGAAGGACATCAAAAGTCCACAAAATAGTACAATAAATACATCTACTGTTATTGGTAAAGAGTCTTTGAATATCATAGAACGAGAAAGACATGACGTGACAGAAAGAGAAGAAGAGGATGATGTGGACAGCAGTGGAGAGAAAAACTTTAAAGAGGAAAGAGAAACACAACAAGATGATCATGAGACAGAAACAGAGCAAAGAAAGGACACCGACAGTCCACAAGAAAGGAGAATAAATCCATATACTGTTAATGACAAAGAGTCTTTGATTAAGATAGAACAAGAAACACAGGACATGACAGGGAGACAGGAAGAGGGTAACGTGGACAACAGTGGAGAGAAAAAGATACAAGAAAAAGAAAAGAAAAAGAAACGGAGCAAAGAAGTGGACACCGACAGTTCAGGAACAAAAACATGTACTGTGACTGAAACAGATCCTCAGTTTGAAATGAAACAAGAAACACATGAAGAAGAGGAGATGACAGGGAGGGGAATGAAAGCTGAGGGGGCTGAAAGTGAAAGAGAGAAAAAGATGGAAACAGATAAAGATTGTATAGAACTTAGTTTATTACCACTTAGAGAAAAACTCAATGGGCCGATAGTGTTAGTAAACAAAGGAAAGACATTTAAACTTAGTTCTTTTACTAAATTGATTGCAGATATAACGTCTTTAAATTCACATCTGACGCCTGATCAGGAACCATGGAGAGAAAAAGAGACACAAGAGCAGCTTGTAGAAAAAAGACAGATGGAGAGAAATGTGGACATGAAAAATCCAGACACTGAGAAATAGAGAGCAGAGGAAAACAGTGATGAAGTAAATCTAAATTCTGAGGTTACAGCACAGAAAGAGAGACAGAGAGAAAGACTGAAGGCAGAACAACAGAGAGAGGAAAACCAGAGACTTCAATCAGAGACACAAAGGGAAAGAGAAAGATGAGAGAGAACTGAAAACAAGGAAAGACAATAAAAACCAACATCACACAGAAGAAGAAATACAAGAGATAAGTGAACAAGAATCTCTGCAACATCACAATTTGAAACTATTCAATGGGCAACCAATCAGCAGATACTGCCAGTTCAAACAGAACCACAAGGATGTGAACTAGAAAGTGATGATGATCTTTAGGATCTGATCCAGGTTGATTAACATTTAGGACTTCAGTTTTCACCATTTCCAAAAGACCTCAAGAGCAGCCAGTGTGATTAGGAGAATCAAAGCCCTTTGATTTCTCTTCATATTTTCATATTTATAATCTCATCAGAAGCCGTAGAAAAGAAGAAGAGATACAAGGAAACCAGTTCATGGAAAAAAGAGAAAATCTAAAGAAAAACAGCGATTGTGTGATGGAGAAGAAACTGAATTGAAATATACCTCACAGGGCCAGGATGGAGTTTCAGCCTGTTCAAGAATCTGTATTATCAACACACATGAGTACCACAGAAAGTTTAGGAGCTATCTAACTTTAAATAACTTTAATTTCCTTTGTTTCTGTTCATAATAACTCTAATGTATTATTGATTTCTCTTTACCAGTGACTGACAAAACACGGCCAGGGAAAAGTCATGACACATCACTAAATGTCGAGAATGAAATTGTTAAACCATTTTCACCATAAAATATTAATCTGGTGAAGTGTCCTGTTTTTAAATCAAAATACAACCTTCTGAACCTATCCAAGAAGAACAAAGTTGAAAATGCAGAATTTTGATGCAGAAAGATGATATTGCACCTGAGAAAAGCTCCTAACAGAAAGGAAATATTAATGCAGACAGACATTGAACATGAGTAATGTTCAGTATAAGGCACTCATCTTATCTGTTCCCCTGAGGGTATTCATCCCTTTAGTCACATCACTATTTCACAGATGAGTCCAGGTGAAGTTAGACATATAAAGTCTATGATTTAAACTGTACACATTTTTCAGTTTGTTTTTGTGACGACAGTAATTATAGCTTGAACCAAGAATAACTGCTCAAAATTGCTTTGAGTATCCTGCTTTCCTGAATGTCCATCATGGTTGAAAATTATCATATTTTTATATGTATGTGTAGTTTTAATTTGCATGTCAGAATGTTGTTTGTCTGCTGTCTTGGGATTAGTCCTGCATGTCCTGCTTTCATTTGTTTTAGTGGCATGGCCCTACACATGCAAATATACAGTGCTGATCTGCTCACCTGTCTTTGATCCCAAATGAAATGTTTTAGTGAAAATGTGGTGAAATATTTGGAAATACTTTTGTATACGATGTATTACTAAATATTGAAAATTAAACTTTGTTAAAGTGTGTTTTAATGATTGATTTAGTTTTATGTCAAACTTCCACTTTTTGTGACAGTCACTGTGCTTTTGTATCTGTTTGGATAATGGACAGTAGCTACCATGAATAAATAAATATTAATAAGAGAGAGCAACAACAAAAACAACTGATAATAATAACATAATGCAAAAACATTTTTCTTCTGGGGTGTAAAAAAATATTGCCCATCACCTCCACATTGCATTAAGCAAATGGTGATTTCTAGAGCAAGGTTATTATAGTAAACTAAAATTACTGTTGTGTTGTGCTGTTGCTACTATAATAAATAAGGTTAGGTAGGAATGTTGGTTGCAATATAGTATAAATAGAGATATGATGTATAAATAACACGTAATATCCATGAGTGCAGTTATCCTTCAATTAGGGGATAATATTATTAAAGTTAATATTACATTAAAATGACTGTGCATTTCTCCTTCAGCTTTCAGACCCTCAGACCTTGTAGTACCATATCACTCTATTAGAGCACTTCGTTCTCGCACTGTAGGCTTACTTGCTGTTCCGAGAGTATTTAAAAGTAGAATGGGAGGGAGAGCCTTCAGTTTTCAGGCACCTCTTCTATGGAACCAGCTTTCATTTTGAATAAGGGGGCTGTCTTCAACATGGTGCCTTTTGTCCTGTCTCCCTCCCCTCACTCAAAACCAGTCTTGGCAGATGGCTGGTCTTCCCTGTGCCTGGTTTCTTCCTGCTAAAAGGGAGGTTTTCCTTTCCACAGTCACCAAGCGTTTGCTCCTAGGGGGTCAGACGATTGTTGGGATTTTCTCTGTATTATTATAGGGTTTTTAGCTTACAAGATAAAGTGCCATGAGGCTATTGTTGTTGTGATGTGACACTATATAAAAAATGAATTGAATTGAATAATTCTAATCTTTAAGTTTTCAACCTTTAATACACAACATATCAAAATGAAGACTGACTTAAATTAGGAAATCGACTCTGGAACACAACTGAAACAAACCACTCTAAAAGAAAAAAAGAGCTATTTTTTTTGTTTGGTAATTATGACTGCTATCTGAAACAAGGTGCTATCAATGCAGACTTACGGTGTGTTCACACCGAACGCGATAGAGGCAGGCGGAGCGTCAGGTTTACATGTAAAGTCAATGGAAAGGCGCGCTGACCCGCGATTGCGGC